TTGCCATATTAATTATGCTAATACTGAATGGGGTGGCGTAAATAAAAGTTTTTTTATTTACGCCACCCCATTATCTTTATTATAATTTATACTCACATAAAAAAAAAAAAAAGTACCTTCGAAATGAAAACATTATTCAACAACCTTTTATCGTATGCAAATTTTGGTAGATCTTGTATCTCTTATCGAAAAGCAGATTCAAAAGAAAACAGATTCAAAAGAAAACTTAAACAGATAATTTTATCTATCGATAACATAATTTTATATTTTTAATTTTTATAAAGTAAAATTTTTTAAATTCAATTCTTAGTATTTACATATATGAATGTTATATGTCTTTTACGTTTATTTATTTTGACTTTTGACGAGAATATACACAGTATCGGACAAAACAAGTGCAACCAAATAATGCTAATTTAGTTTCTTTATATAAAAGTGCTGCATTTTTTCAATTTAGAGAAATAACTATGTAACTGTTTAGAGACAACGTTCTTCAAGTTTTATTTATCACAAAGTTCATTACTTGTATACGAAAATTAATAAATTAATCAAAAGTATTAAAAAAAGTTGATTTCCTTCTGGACAAAACAAATGCAACTCCACAAAATGTTGACAAAGCTGTATTTCGCTATCAATATTCGTGGCAAATCATTTGTTGTCGATCACAGCCTTATATCTTCGAGGCATAGATTTGATCAGGTGATCAATGAAACTTTGGATTTGTTTAAACAGTTAATCCTTATTACGAACACCTTTACGATCAATTATGCGGTTGACGATCTACCACAGGTTCTCGATAGGGTTGAGATCCGGAGATTGAGGCGGCCAATCCATCAACGATAGGGGTTGTCTTGAAACCACCGCTTGACTACTTTTGCAGTGTGTTTCGGATCGTCGTCTTGCTGAAAAACCCATTTTATTAGCATATTCCATTCAACATGCACGGCAAATGCCATCGCTTCCAATGATGTTGAACTTAGATTCATCACTGAACAGGACAGTTCGCCATTTTTGCACATTCCAGTCAATATGAGATGTAGCAAACAGGTCTTTTCTTCTGGTTCTTTAGTGAAATCAGCGTTTTCTTTGCTGGGCGTCGAGAAAACAATCCAACTTCAACAGCAAGTCGTCTGATTGTTCGGCCCGATACAGGCAGCTCTAATTGCTTTTGTATCTCGACTAATGATATCCAGGGATCCTTCTTAACGGATCTGATGATCATAGAATCCTCTCTAGAAGTGGTGGAACGCGGTCTTCCATCTTTGTTATCTGCTGCCAACCCCGTAAAACGATATTTGGAACATAGTCTTGACACAGTCCATTATATTTATATATATATATATATATATATATATATATATATATATATATATATATATATATATATATATATATATATATATATATATATATTTAATACAATAACGATGTAGTTAAAAAACAAAACGGTTCTCAACGTCAAGACCTTAAGGTCTTCTATGAGATCCCGCACTCTTCCTCTTACAAACTTATTTAATCTTGTAATCATTTATTTTAATTTATAAAATAAAATTTATATATCATATTAAAATAAATTTTCTATTATATTATTGAAATAATTATAATTGTAAAACGACTAATATAGTAAAACATTTAAAGAACAAAAAAATAAAAATTAATTAATAAATAGTTATTAATTTTTTTAAACTTTTTAGATCTTACATTATTTGTTTCGTCCTTTGCTTTTTGCTTTATCAAATTTATGGTATTACCTATTAATTGAGACAATCTTATTTTAATGTTAACATTTTTGTAAACATCTATTTTATTTATTAATTTATACTCATGAAGAAAAAAAAAAATTTTAATATATATATTGCAACACGGTTCTCGGCGATGTAACAAAAATATCTTCTTCTTGTTCCAGCCATTAATTTTGTTTGAAATTTTTATTATTTGCAATATATATAAATTTAAATTTTTTTTTCTTCATGAGTATAAATTTTTATTTCGACTTCTCCCCTCAACCCCCCCCCCCTCCCCCATCACACACGTTTTGCTATACGCTTTTATGAGTACCCTCTATCTCTCTAAAAGTACCTACGCTTTTAACCTACCAAACCAACATTTCATGATTTACCGCTAGGCAGGGTAACATTTTTATAGATCAAATTAATAATAATTAAAACAAACTTATCACTTTTGGATAATCACAAACAATAATTATATCACAATACAAATAGTTTTTCTTTTCTATACTCATATATCAGATCATTACGTACAAGGCTAAGTTTTTGCTTTATTTATACTTATGAATTTTTTAATGTCACGTTAACCTCACGTGAAACTAATTGCAAAGTTGCCAATGAAAGGGGCTTGATGATAAGACTGCAGTCTTCTACTTGCCCCTGTCATTATTTTAATTTTTATCTTATTTATAAATGTATACATGAATTAAAGTTAACTGCATGTAAAATATATAGAGACAAAGTAAATTGCAAAAAAAAAAAAAAAAAAAAAAAAACATTGACACTTTTATATCAATCTTCATGATCCTCTACCAAGGCCTTCTTAAACAGGCGCCTGTTTAAGGAAAATGAGCTGTCGCGGCCTAGGCCGCGACAGCTCATTTTCCGTAAAATTAGCAAAGGCCGACTTTTTTACGGTTAAAATTATTTTTTATCTTTGCTTTTGTAAACAAACTTCAGAAACAAATAAAGAGTTTTATTAGGACAAAACATTTTGATTGAATTTCGAAAGCAAATATTGTAGGAATTTTTTTACGTTTAGAAATAAGTTAATTACAATAAAAATTTAAGGAGTTTAGCTAAAAATGACTAAATCTCGTTTTTATAACTATATGTTTATTTTAGCTGTTAAACACTTGTAATACAAATAATAAATTTTTTGATAAAAACAAACAAATATATTAACTTTATTTTATTAAAATTATTTTGACTTTTTTGACTCAAAGTATTTTATTTTGAAGTTGAAAGTTTTGCTTGTTTTAATAAACATTCCTTCCCAAAATCTTCAGTGTGTTTTTTACAATAATTGTTTAAAAAAATGTTTGCCAAAATGCAGCAAACTTTTTTAACACTTTGAACAAGCAATTGAAATTTACTATTGCAGTTAATAAAAATGTCAATTAATCCTTTCTTGCACAGCAATGGTGAAACTTTATTCACAAGTGTCACTTCAAATATAAAAAAACAATAAAAAACAAGTAGACTAAATTGTCAGAAGGTTCTCTTATTCTTCCCCTGTTCAAAGAACTGATTAAAGTTCCATATTTTTGAAACATATCGAAGGTGTCTGTTTTTTCTAAAATTGTATGTAATTCTGGAAGTTTGTAAGCAATAAAACCTGCAATATATAAAAGCCCTTGTTTGCATTCATTTGGCAAATGATCCTCACAATTTTCACATATTGACATATTAAACTCCACATCAAGTTCACACTTATCACAGTGGTGGTGAGCAGGAGGAAATATTGTAAAATCTGTATGCTTTTCTAGCAACTTTCTAGTTTTGTTGATTCTAAATTTTTATATAACATTTTGCACAGTTATCAGATATGTGCCACCTGACCCTTGCCGATATTTCCCAAACTGTTTTTCTAGTGCATCTGATTGCATATGTCCTAACAATACATAAGATACACCGCAATTCAACAAATACTTGGCACAGCTTGCTAATCTTTTAGAAGTTTTTTGCAAAGCACTTGCAGTATCCATTGTTATCTTTTTCTCTCTTAATTTTGAATTTACGCATTTCAAATTTTCAGCAAAATACAAAATATAGTTCTCTAAGAAATCTATTTGCCAATCATTGACTGAAGTAATAGGCTTTCTTCGAATATCATTTAATCTAATATCTAGACCTTTTGCTTTACTGTTGACAATAAGCCACCACTTAACAACTGTTACAATAAAAAGTGCAGTATCTTCAGCTTCAGGAAATTTTACACGTAATGCTGCAACTGTTTCATCACAAAAAACTTTAAGAACTAATCCAACATTTTGTCGTTCAATTGGTTTTGGTGACACAGCTTTTTGTGTTAATATAACTTGCTCGCTTAGAATCTGTTTCATTATTAATAACATAACTAACAGCATTCTCCAGTTGAGAATAATATTTAATAACTACTTTGTTTAAAAAAGACAGTTTAATTTGTAAAAGTTGGCTATATCCAGTAAAATAAATATCTCCAGAATCTTCTAAGGTACTGGTCCACAATGTTCATATGATATTAAAGATATATTTTTTTCTTTTTCAACAAAATAAAATTTTTCTTCACAGTTATTTATTATTGACTTCAAATTTTTTACAATTGAATTAAATTGAATAACGTCCATTTTTTTGAAGTTTTCGAACTCATCAGTTAAATTATTTCTTTCAGAGCATATTAACCCAGTGACATCTCGTTTTCTAGACACTATTGGAATACAAGACACTGGTATACATTTAAAGACTGATGGAGGATGCACTGGAACAAAACTACCACCTTTGACTTTTTTTAATTTATGCATCTTTAGGCCAGTGCTGAGCACAAATTCGCTTATAATCTGTAAACACAAAGTTTGCATTTGGAAGTTTTTTAATCCATAACTCGCGATCCTCGGATTTAAAGAAAATCTATACATTGTGACATAAATATTATCTTTTACTTTTGATATGTAATTTGAGGAGCAACCATAAACGAGCATAACTATTACCATAAACGAGCATAAACGAGTTTAACTATCATAGTTTAAATCAAACAACCAAAATCCTCATTGAAACTATACTTCTCCGTAAAAAAGTCGGCCTTCGCTAATTTTACGGAAAATGAGCTGTCGCGGCCTGTTTAAGAAGGCCTTGTCCTCTACGAATTTACGCGCCCGTAGCTTTAAAGAAATTTTAATTAAGTGAAATTGCGCTTTTACCCAGGCATTTCCTCATCTCTAGTTTGTTGGCTAGCTTTTTAATAAAAGGGGTAATAACTTACTTTATAACTTGATAATAAGAATAAATACAAAGTTTAAAAGAATGAGCGTGATTATCAAATAGATTCTACATGAATTCTACATGAAGCACCGAACCGTGTATATTCCAATAAATATATTATATTTATATATATATATACATACAAGAATTATTTGAGTTTATTAAAACTCGCTTCTACAAACATTTACTTTACCTTACTTGTAAACCATAAAACGTTAAGAGTTCTTTTCTAATTTATAATTCTAAGCAACGTTAGATGGCAATCAAATAAAATTTGTGTTCAAAAATGCTATATGAAAATAAATGGATAAGAAAATACTATGTATTAATAAATAAAAACTTATTTCAAGAAAATTAATTAAAAAAAAAAGTTAAAAAAATATTTCCGATTAATCAAAAAGTTTTTGTAAAAAAAAAAACAACACCTATTTTCTCACTAAGTGCATGTGAACAAAATGATGGAATACAAAGCATCTTTTTTACATATCTAATGCAAAAAAAAAAAAAAAAAAAAAAACTATAACTAAATAAAAATCAAACAAAAAACTAAAAAAAAAACATTAACATAAGGATTTATAAAAACATACACATATATACACACAAAAAAATCTTTATTAGTTACACAAATAAAACACAAATCCTGTACTTGCTTACAGATCAGCGTAAAATGTTTAAAACTGAAAAATTGACAAAACATGTGAGATAATTTGGATAGTTAAAAAAAAAAAAAAAAAGTAATTATATGAAAATCATCTAATGTTCTCACAAATAAATAGCTTCCAACAATGCATTAAACGAAAAACTAAAAAAATTATAAAGCTAATCTTAAAACCTAAACTTCAGTTTTTACCAAAATGTTATTATAATAATAATTTATTAGAACCTATATTCCCAATGATTGTTAAGTCAGTTAACAACTGCATCCACCACCTGACGGCTGATTTGGAAACTTTGTATTAGGTCTGTTCGGACCAATCAAAGTAGGGTCTGTATCAATTGTATCAGTCATTCGATCACATATGACATCAACTAGTTTATCAAAAGCTGCCCTGACATTAATGTTATCTTTAGCAGATGTTTCAAAAAATGGAAAACCGAGTTGCTCAGATAACTTTTTCCCTTGTTCATAAGTGACAGCACGCTCTTCATCCATGTCACATTTGTTTCCCACAAGCACAACTTGAGTGTTATCCCATGAGTAAGTCTTTACTTGACCAGCCCTATTGAATTTAAAGGTATTATAAAAAGATAAAAGCCAAAAAAAAAAAAATGCAATTTTTTAATGCAAAGGTTGTATTAATAGAAGTGTTGCCATGCAGGTAAATTACATTGCAATCAATAAAGTGAAAATTTGATATTTACAATGTGTTAACCTTTGTGACAGACTTTATCAACTAGTAACAGAGTTTATCAAATAAAACAAAAAGGGCATTGCAACAGAAATTTTATTTTTGTTATTTGGTAAGGAAAAACTAGCCAAAAAAAAAAAAGTACTTTAGATAAACTTATGTACTTTATACGTCCTCTAAACATAACAAAAATTTTGTATGAAATTTAAAATTAATACAAATAACTAAAAGAAATAAGAAAAAATGATAGGAAAAACACAACAGAAATTTTAAAAAAAACTTAAGCAAATTTTTTTAAAGGGGTTTTTGTAGGGGTTATTAATTTTTACACTCAATAATAATTTTTGTAGGGGTTATTAATTTTTACACACAATAATTCTAACAGATAATAATAGATCACAATAATTCTTGGCAAACATCTATTTGATATCAGTATAAACTGTTAATATCAGATGTTAAAATAATTTTTAGAATAAAAACTCAAAGTTCACCTAAGGTAAATTTAATAAAATACGAATGTTTACAACATTCAAGAAATTTAACAAATTTTCTTATTATTATTATTGTTTATCTACTAATGTTATTATTTATGCATTTCATGTATGTTTAATTTATTTATATATTTCAGCACTTATTATATTTATTTTTTTATGTGTAATACATTTATTTATTTATGTATTTCATTTATTTATGTATTTCACCATTCAAGTAATTAATGAATTTTATTGTTTTTCTTGTTGTTATTATTTATGTTATATATTACAATAAAAATGAAACAGACTATTTTAAAAATATTTCTAATAAGACTCCATATATTTTAGAAACTTATTTAAATTTTCCTATTTTTAATTTCACAATAAATATATTCTTTTTTTTTTTAACTTATTTAAATTTTCCTATTTTTAATACAGTATAAGAAAATACTATTTCACAATAAATATATTCTCAACAAATTAACCTTTTTGAAGACAGTTTTTTTTCTTTTTAAAAAGTAATTATTTACTTTGAATGATTTTAAACAAATTAAATTGTTTTTATTTATTAAAATCAAGTTAAATTTCCACTGAAATGTGATTTTAATTAAAGTAAGGAACAACAATATCAATAGGAAATTCAATATAAAACTAACATTTTTATTTGTTGGTTTTAAAAATCTAAATAAATTTTTTACTATAAAAAAAGTTTTTTTTCAGTTCAGCTCATTTTTAATTGTTAATTTTTTCTATTTACTTTTTTTTTTTTTTGCTTAGGCATCAAAAAAATATAATTTAATTTTTTTTTTTTAATATTTTAAAATTCTTTTTACTGTTTTAAATACTTTTAAATAAAGAAAATAATTTTGGATCTTTCTAAAAATTAGGTAATACTCAAAGAGCAAGAACCTGCTGAAATGAGACAAGACTAAATCTTTAAGATTCAAGATAAAGCAAAGTTATAAATAACGTTTTGAGAAAAAATATCTTTATAAATAATGTGAGGTTCAGATAAAAATCATACCAGTCAGCAACAGCTTTAAATGATTCTTCATTGGTAACATCATACATTAATATAAAACCCATAGCTCCCCGATAATATGCAGTTGTTATAGTTCGATATCTTTCTTGACCAGCTTTAAAAAAAAACAACAATTTATGAATAAATATATTGCTCATACAAATATATAAGGATATTTTTAAAGGATATATAAAAATATATAAATATAAAAATATATATTTATATATATATATATATATATATACATGTATGTATGTATGTATGTATGTATGTATATATATATATATATATATATATATATATATATATATATATATATATATATATATATATATATATATATATATATATATATATATATATATATATATATAAGTGGTGTAACGGATTGGAAATTTTGAATTCCGGCCGGAACCGGATTTGCCGGAATTGTTAAGAAAATTCCAGCTAGAACGAGATTAACATTTATGTAGTTTTTATCTTCAAGATTAAAAGTGAAAGCCTGGACCTTAGCATCGTGGCTACATAATATATATTTATAACCTATAAAATAATAACATATAATATATTTTTGATGAAAAAAGAACTTGTTTGTTGCCCAAAACTGCTCAATGTGGTGCAACTTTTTAATAATTCCTAATAACTTTTTAAAATTTTTTAAATATTCCTTAACTTTTAGAAATCTTTACAAAAGTGATTACTGCAAATAAAATTAGGCAATGCTTCAGATATGCGGTCTAAAATAATTTTATTTTATCGCTTGTTGCAGCTTTCGTGTGAAGACTTACTCTAAGTCAGGGGTAGTCTGACTTTTAAGGATAAGGGCAAAAATTAAAACACAATTTTGCGGGCAAAACATATTTATTTCTATAAATATATATAAAAAATATGTGACTAAAAACTATTATAATCATTTGTATTAAAACAATATAATTATTAAGAGTGTTGAACTCGACTGTCTGAAACTAGTTTTTCGATGTCTTGATTTTTGAGGTAGATAGAAGTATCAAATTACCAAGATGGTTGTCTCCTAAATATCCATATTATTTTTTGACTGTGGGCAGTGGTTTGGCCAACAAGTGGTGACTCTTTAATATAAACATAAAAAATATTTATTGGCATTAGTACATACATCGACTATCTTATAGCCTGCTGCTACAAGGGAGTGTTGCTACACCAACTATCTTATAGCATGCTTCTACAAGGAATTGCTGCTATATTGACTGAGGATTTGGCAAAGGGAGGCAATCTTTTTTCTTTTATTATTTCAATTAGAATTTCTAATGTTTAAAAACTCTCCACTAACGACAGCGCAACAAGCAAAAAAATAAAATTATTTTAGACTGGTAAACTGTATCTTTACCTAAAATTACATTGTATTTGTTAAGAATTTTGTATTTTTTACCTAGGTTTACCAATAGTTCTTCAATGCCCCGTAATACAACGATTTTTTGATTTAATTAACACAGTTTGTCACATGTCTTAAATAAATAAAATTCCAGGATTCCAGCCGGAAATATTTTAATTCTGGCCGGAACCAGAATAACCTAAAAATCACAAAATCCGACAGGAATTCGTGACTTTCTCAGGAATTGGCTAGACAAATCATATTTTCCAAAAAAAGTTCATAAACAATTTTTTTCTCTTTAAAATAAAAAATATAAAACAACAAACTTTTATCAAAGTTTTTTTAAATAATCAAATGTAAAATTCTGTTTAATCAAATGTAAAATTCTGTTTAATCAAATGTAAAATTCTGACAATAATTATTAATACTTATCAAATTTTTAGATTATAGAAAAATAAAAGTAACCATGAAAGTTAATGATATAAAAAATATTTTTGACTTTTATCAATTTGTCACTTTGTTTACTGTAAGAATCGCTGAAAATGAATCATAAACTTTTATATGTTATGACTTACATAAGGTGAAGCATATTATGTACAAGTAGGCAAAAATATATTTATTAATAATACTTAACAAATATTATTAAAATAATGAGTCATTTTGAAATGAGCAACCCAAAAAATATTTCTTAATACTCTACTACAGTTCAAAATTTATTATTTACAAAAAGTGTTTTACAATTCAAAAATTATTTATTTTGACAATTAGTTATAATTAGGTTAACTGTATCAATTATCTAGCTAACTATCTAGATCAAGCTAACTAGATTTAGTATTACAGTTTGTTAAATAAAATAATTACTAGTGTTGACTTATTTAAACTTGTTTGATAGTCAGACGCTCTTGTCAATCAAGAAGACAATTATACAACCACAAAATATTATAAATGAATATTATGCAATTAAAATTTGGGTATACTAAATGTATTTTATAATAAATGCATATTTAGATTCTTGCAAAATATATTAGTAACCTGGAAAATTACATGCTGTGCTATCATAAATGTTAAAAATATATAATCATATTAAAGCTAAATTATTAGATCTGTTTTATGTTTATTGGTAAACATGTTTACTTTTTATGTTCATGCTCTTTAAATGTTGCACTACTGCTATTAGTAATAGCATTGTTCTATTATTATTATCTGAGAATAAACAATTATCTACTATAAAGCAAAATAAACTTTTGTAAAAGGTAAACAGTAACTATGGTAATAGCAAATATTAAATTGGAACTACTAACATATACTTATATGTTATGATATTATAATATATTTAACCAAAAAAAATGAAAAATAAATGATTGTTAAGATACTTCTAGATCTTGTCAATACTTAAGAACCTTGTACAATCTTTAAAGAAATAAAGTAACAAACATGTAAAACATAGCTAACATATTACCATCAAATATATATGTTTGTTGTCAAACATGATTTGAAAGCATTTTCTTATTTTTATTCTTATTTCTATGCAACCAATGTTCCAAAAACAATGAAATAAAAATAAATAAGATTTAAAATAACACTATATGTGTACCTTTTAAAAAACTACAAGATATAAATTAACAGATACAAATAATAATAAAATGTAAAATTTGACTAGGTTAATTTATATTGGTTGAAAAGTTCTATAATAAATTACATTACCTATAAGTACATTTTTAAAAGATTATTCACACTTTATAAAAATTACTTTTTATATGAAAAATATTTTCATTGTAAGCCCAAAGCTTGACTGCAAACTTTTTAACTGGGTTTTAAATTCTAAAACTATAAACCATTATCAAAAGTATTTATTGTATCACATTTAAAAGCATTCTATTAAAATTTACTTGGTCTACTAATATGGTATAATATTTATATTAAACAGGTATAATGTAGTTTTTAATTAAATCTACAAAAATTAAATGCATATATGTTGTGCAAGGTTTAAATTATTCAACATCCAAAATATTTATTTTACAATAATTTTTATACAATTAAAATAATATTCATTTGTTGTCAAGTTTAATATTTTATTATTATTATTAACAATGAAATATGATATGGATTTTTTTTTATTAACATGACATAACGATAATCTAATAACACAACAATAACAGAACCATATATATATATATATATATGTAGAATTTTTATTTATTTCTTTATTTTCTTTGAATTTAAATAAGTTAAGAGCGTGTTTTTTTAATTATAAAAAAGTATTTTAGGAATATAAAATCCAGAGAAATTTGTCTTTAAATTTTTAAAATAATTTCTAGATTTGAATGAATGCTGTTAAAAATATGTTTACATATAACCATATATTATAATAAAATAACGGAGTAACAATCAAGTAAAAAAGATAATATTCGGCATGTATTATTAACTATCAGTTTATAATAATAACCAAAACAATAACAAAAAATATACCGACAACTTTTACACCTAATAAATTATAAAAAAATTATTACTTTATAATTTTGAAAAAAAAGTAAATCTCACTTATAATTAAAAAAACTAACCCGTGTCCCATATTTGTAATTTGATTCGTTTGTCATTGCGAAACACTGTCTGAACTTTGAAATCGATCCCAACAGTTGATACAAAGGCTGAAGTAAAGGAATCATCCGAATATCTAAATAGGAAACTTGTTTTACCGACCGAAGAGTTACCAATAATAAGAAGTTTAAACATATAGTCAAAGTTCTGATCTGCAGGATCTTTGCTACGATGTCGGTCAGAAGATACTGCCGCCATTTTGATAAATGCGATAGAAAAGGCAGATGCAAAATAAAGTTTGTTCATGTGACAACTTTAAACCAATCATATTGATTGACAATAACTTTTAATTCAAAAGATCAACGTCTTCACCGTCGAAACAAACTTCCAAGTAGTTCAAGAAAAATCCTCGATAGTTTGACACTTTGACCGTCAATACTAGAATTTATTTTTGGTTCATTATTACGCTGAGTTCATTTCGACGTATTTAAATTTTTACAAAGTAAACATTGACTGAAATATTGTTAAAACTTGTTGCTTAACAAATAAAACTTAACTACGTTCTCTGTTTGCAAGTTGAAAACGGCAAGATGACACAAAGTCATTGTTTTAAATATTGTCATTTTTATACTATATTAATTAAGCTTCTTATTCCAGCATACAAGCAGATATATATAACTATAGAATTATACAAATAAGTATTTGTATTTGGTTAACATTTATTGGTTTTATTGGTATTAGTTAACATTTTTAAAATAAGGTATTATCATGAAAATAATTTGAAAACGCAAAAAAAAAAAAAGAAAAAGAAAAGTTAATGCATCTTGTGCCAATTTCCAAGATAGTGTAAATAATGGAATTTAGTAAGTTAAAATAAAGTGTGGTAAAACTCAATACTAGTAAATTCAGGCAATCAAAAAATAATTGGTTTAGCATTACCATTAATTATATTCATTTATTACATATTTGTAATTAAATAAATAATTATTTTCTTTGTTTAGTTAAAATTTTGATTTATTCATTGTAAAAAACTCTAAATAAATCTAAAATTATTCACTGGATCTTTAAACTAAATGTGAAAATAATTTATTTTTTTTATTATAATTAATCGCTAAGCAGTAATAAATTATAGCGTTCCGTATTCGAGAAATCAGGGATTCAGTGATATTGGTGTTTATCAGTGGTGGATTAAGACTCCTTGGGGCCTGGGGCTACTTTTATTTTTGAAGGCGTTTTTTCGGGCCATAGCCTAAAAATGACTTAAAAAAAAAAAGGTGGGCCCCCAAATTTGCGAGACCCGGGGCTATAGCTCCCCCCCCCCCCTTGATCCGGCATTGGTGTTTATATGATCTATTTTTACTCTAATCTATTCGTTCGATTCTTACTCAAATGGTATTCTCTTCTTACCTTATTCTTTTTTATTTTATTTTTATTTAGGCTATTATATTCAACTTGGAACAAACATTTACTTAATAAAGTTTGTTTCAGTGCGTTAATTCTACGTATAGTATAATCAATATTTACATAAATGTAAACTTTTATGTAAATATTGATTATATGTACGTGAAATTTTTTATAATTGCGTAAAAATGTTATGAAAAAATCGACCAATCAAATTTAATTTAACGTGTCGTAATAAACTAACCAATATTGTATTAGGCAGTTATAGTGCCTAAAAGTGCTATATTTGTGATGTTAAAAAAATCCTCCCTACGCTATTGAGTGGGGGTTACAATGTTTATATATTTTAAAGTCCTTCAAAGCATAGCCTAATTGACGAGAGTCAACCCGTTACGAGAAACAAATCTCGTGATGCTTTTAGATACGCACTTATTAGGAACATAACAACCGCATATTGCGAGAATTAGATCTTAAAATGTTTTTAGAAACACAGTGTCTAGTAGCATAATTACTGCATGAATAAAAACTAATATCTACAGTTAAATAAATGTCATGACGAGTTTTTATTTTTATTGAAAAATTAAAGAAAAATTTTTCCAAAAGGAAAGATCTACAATATTGAATTTGCTTAGAACTTATCTTCAAATAAGTTATGGAATACAGTTATTCTCTAAAAGAGCTCGCTTTAAACTCTTGATGTTTTGCTTCTAACAAAGCAAGCGCTCCAATCACTGCGCCACAGCTAACTCGTGATAAAAGCTAAACCCACACTTTACCTTACAAAACAAACATTGTGTCACTTGTAAATATTTAAATAGCTTAGATTAAACAGATAAATTTATAATGTAATGAGAGGAATGTATATTAGGTGTGAGATTTTTCCATTTAATGTGGAATGCTTCTTTAATCTTTTTCCATTTAATATGCAACCTTCTTTAACCTTAAATTTATGTTTTGTTTTAAACTTATGTTTTAAATATAATTAAATAACTACATAATTTTATGTCAATTTACGTATTTTTTTATAACATTTGTGTGTGTGTGTGGGGGGGGGGGAAGGGGTGAAGGGTGAAGGGGGAATGTTTATTAAGGTGCTCCTAAATGTCTTTACGATCTTATCTCAGAGCAACGCGGAAGAGCATTTAACTAGGAAGTTCATGCCTCCTTTCCATGTCTCTTATTAGATTGGAGCCAGCGTTGAACCTTGGACCTCTTGGTTCTAACCACTGCACCATGCCTACACAAACATTATTAGATACCATTTATTTTGTAATATATAAAGTTGCTTTTTTGTTATATATATATATATATATATATATATATATATATATATATATATATATATATATATATATATATATATATATATATATATATATATATATATATATATATATATATATATATATATATATATATATATATATATATATATATATTGTTATTATTATTATTATTATTATTGTTATTACGGTTATTTACATTTTTATCAAATTTGTTACTAATTTATGAGCATTTAAACAACTACGCTATTGTAATAAACAAAAAAAAGTTTAGCAACAACAATAATAACAACAACAACATCAACAACAAATAAAAACAGTTTTAATGCCCAACTCTTTTTTCATTAATGACATTTTTGATTTAACTTTTTTAATATGAAAATAAAATTTAAAAAATAAAACAATTATATAGAAACTATATAGAAAAATATTTTTTTTATTATATGTTTATAAACTTTTTACTTTTCTGTTTTCGCCGGAATAATTATTCCAACTCCTTTACATAATTTACATTATTTCAACAAATATTTTTAAAACAAAATTTCAATTCCTTCATCATTCTATACTTTTATTTAGCTCCTTACTATGAAAGGAGTTTGCTTCCCGCCGGAATTAATTATTAATTAACAAAAATTTAAAAAAATTAAAAAATTCCGGCCGGAATTATTTATTAATTACTAAAAATCGTTGGAAACTCAAAAATAAATTATTAGTTTAACATTATAGCTAATCAAATTTTATTAGGAACATTTTTCCTTTTTTTAATTAACTGTTGCATTACTAATTCAACTGTTGCGTTACCATTTCAACTGTTATCGTTATAGTTTATTTATTATTGTTATATTATTCACCTACAGTAAAGATGGTTACAAGGTAAAAACACTAAAAAAGAACAAGATTGAATAAATGGTAAAGAAGTACATAACAATACAAACGAACAAACTAACTGACATACATTTAGTTTTTATGTATATAGAATTCAAATAACAAAAATTTGTAAAAATTTTTATTTGAAAAATAGTAAAAATTTGACAAGTGAATTTTTATTTGAATTTAACAAACGATTTCTGTACTTAATTTAAATATTTATGAGTGGCAAAAAAAATTAATTAATTAATTAATTAAAATAATTAATAAATTTAAATTAATTAATTTAATGATTTGCAGAACCAAACGAAAAAATGATGTTCTTTAGGTAGGATGAAAAATAGTAACTTTGGCAAAATACTCAAATATATGTAAAACATTTTATTTGTTACTATATTGAAAGCACCTTAAAGTTATGATTTTTTTTTTTTTTAATCTGATATTGATTGTTTAGACTTATTACAGATATCAAAATTTAAGGTCTCAAATAACCAAAAACTACAAGTTCAAATGAAAAAATATTCACGTTTCACATAGTTTACGTTGAAATTTTATAATCGATCATCACATGAAAGCCGTTTCTTTATTTTCAGTAACAATGCAATTTAATGTTTTTCTTTTGTTTTTATCAAATATTTTTAAAGCTGTAAAATAAATGTAAATTTTACAAAATATATTTAAACTTTTATTTATAATATCTATTTATTTATATATATTTATAAATAAAAATATATAAACTGGTTAATTTGTGTAATAATTGCGCTTTATCGAACTTTACGATCCTATACAAATTTATGCGTCTCTTCAAAAAAATTAAAATTGATTGAAATAGCGCTTTTACCCAGGCATTTCCTCATCTCTAGTTTGTTGGCTAGCTTTTAATAAAAAGGGTAATAACTTTATAACTTGATAATAAGAATAAAATACAAAGTTTAAAAGAATGAGCGTGATTATCAAATAGATTCTACATGAATTCTACATGAAGCACCAAACCGTGTATATTCCAATAAATATATTATATATATACATACAAAAATTATTTGACTTTATTAAACTCGCTTCTACAAACATTACTTTATCTTGTAAACCATTAAAAGTAAATTATTTGACTTTATTAAACTCGCTTCTACAAACTTTATCTTGTAAACCATTAAACGTAAAGAGTTCTTTTTTGTTTTTACTAAACAATGTTAAATGGAAATCAAATAAATTTGTGTTCATAATTGCTATTAAAAAAATGGATAAAAAATTACTTTGTATTAATAAATAAAAACTTATTTCAAGAAAAATAATTATAAAAATTTTTTTTTAAAAATATTTCCTATTAATCAAAAGTTTTTTGTAAAAAAAAACAACATCTATTTTCACATTATGTGCATCGAAATAAAAAAAAAAATATATCGACATCAAGATTTATAAAAACATACGCATATATACACATAGAAAAATCTTTATTTTTTATGTAGACATTAAAACACAAATTGTGGACTTGATTACAGATCAGCGTAAAATGTCTTTAACTGAAAAATCGACGTAGGATGCGAGATAATTTGCGTAACGTTAAAAAAAAAAAAGTAATTATATGAAAATCGTATAAAGCGTTATATAATAAAGTAAACAAAAAATGAAAAAATTAACAAATTATAATGCCAATTTAAATTATAACACCTAAACTTCAGTTTTTACCAAAATGTAATCATTACAATTTATTTTAACCTATGTTCCTAATGATTGTGTGTCAGTTAACAATTACATTCACCACCTGACTGCTGATTTAAAAAATTGTTTTGATCGCTTGGATCAAACTTTGATATTAAAGGTGGTTCTGTATCAGTCATTCGATCGCATATGACATCAACTAGTTTATCAAAAGCTGCCCTGACATTAATGTTATCTTTAGCAGATGTTTCAAAAAATGGAAAACCGAGTTGCTCAGATAACTTTTTTCCTTGTTCATAAGTGACAGCACGCTCTTCATCCATGTCACATTTGTTCCCCACAAGAACTACTTGAGTATTATCCCATGAGTAAGTCTTCACTTGACCAGCCCTACCGAATTTAAAAGTATTATAAATAAAAAGAGAAAGAAAAAGCGAAAAAAATGCAAATTTCTGATGCAAAGCTTGAAGTTTGTTGTGCTGTTAGTTGAAGTGCTGCCTTGTAAGTAAATTACATTGCAAATAATAAATTAAAAATTAAAAATTTGGTTTTTAAAGTTTGTCACCTTTTTAACAAATTGTGACAAGGTTTATGGAATAAAACAAAAAGGGCATTGTAACAGAAATGAAAGTTATGTGAATTGGTAACTGTTTGCTTTGAATGCTTTACAACAAATTAAGCTGTTTTCATTTATTAAAATCTAGTTAATTTTTAGTGAAATGTGATTTTAACTACAATAAATTCCAATGCTAACTCATGAATGACAATATCATAATAAAAGATTAAAGATAAAACTGACAATAATATGTGGTTTTACGAATGATTTCTTACCTTTGATAAACTTCAAAATCTGATAAAACTTTTTTTTTTTAAATTTATAATATTTATTTAAATATTTATAATAAACAATTTTATAATATTTATCAAATATTATAAAATTAGAAAAGCTTTTTATTATTTGAGATCATTTTACTATATCTATAAGTTTTTTTTTTTTTTTTTTTTTTTTTACTTTAAATTATATGAATCATAAAACTGTAGAGTAAAACAGGGTAAAATGAAATAGCGTAATGAAATAGTTATGAGAATGTTATGACTATGTTTGTTCTTTTGCTCTTAATTGAAGAATATTCTTTCTGCAAATATTTTTAAATCACGTTGAAGACATTTCTGAGTAAGATGATATCATATTTTATTTTTGATGAAAAAAAATTATTATAAATTTTTGAGTTTTCGTATGCGTAATAAGATTTTTTTTTATTATTTTCAAAAATGAATTCTAAACTTTCGATAGTTAAATTTGATATCATTGAACTTTAAATGTTTTCTGGTATAACTTTTTACGCTGATCAAGAATCTTTTTAAAAAATTAAATTTGCTCTTTAGGGAAAAAAAAATTATGAGTAAAAAACGGAAAAGGAGAATTGTGATGTTGAATGAAATACGCTAATAATAAGTGAAACAGTTTTTAAACCAATCTTGTTTGAAATACATTTACTTTTCATTTATAAACTATGTAAATATTGCTTGGTGCAGCACCAACGTTACAAAAATAAATAAACTTTTCTGCAAACAAAAACATGCTATTAGGATTATTACAAATGAAAGTCGACTCTCCCAAACAAAAATACTTTTTAGTAAACTCAATATACTAAATGTTTTAGTATTAATAAATATTTATCAAACTCTTATATTCATGTTTAAACTTGATAAAAAACGACACCGTCTTTATTTTACTCAATATTTAAAAAAGTAAATCATATGTACAGCACAAGATTCTCAAAAAATAACTTTAGTTAATCAAAACCCTATTATTCCGCCGCTAAATACTCAATCACAAATCGAGGACCTAAATTATGGTATACACTTTTATATGATGATCTTAAAACACTCTCTTCGCTTAATCATTTTAAAACAAAACTTAGCCAAATTCTTCTACTAAATGAAAATGAATTAAATTTCTTCTAAGGTGTTAAAAAAGAGTACTCTTATGGTTTGATTTATATAATTATGATTATATTTATTAATTATATATATATATATATATATATATATATATATATATATATATATATATATATATATATATATATATATATATATATATATATATATATATATATATATATATATACATATATATATATATATATATATATATATATATATATATATATATATATATATATATATATATATATATATATATATATATATATATATATATATATATATATATATATATATATATATATATATATATATATAGATATATATATATATATATATAGATATATTTAAAAAAATCAATTGTAAACTTTTACACGATTTAATTCTATCATTTGTTTATTACTGAGAATGTAAAAAAGTTTATACTATATATTCTTGAAATCTTATGTTAAAAATAACCCTAATTATTTGGCATGTATTTATATGTGAGTGAGTACATCCACTTTTTATCTTTTTGTTTTTGTTATCTATACGTTTTTTTTTTGTTTTTTTTTTGTTTTTTTTTATATATTTAAAATTTTTTTTTTTTCTTAACTATTTTCAATTCTATCAAAAGAAATTTAAAAAAGAAAGAAATAGGGAAATATAACTTTTATTTTTTTATTTTTTTTCCTATCTTTCTTTATTTAAAATATAATTTTGAAGAAAATTTTATTGGTATTTAAAAGGTTCTGTATTATCTTACATAATTTTTAAAGGCTATGCTATGTATGGTATAAATTACGGGGCTTAGTGATAAGACAACTATAAACTTCTTTTTGCTCCTGTCCAGTGCCGAAGCAAGGAAGGGGGGGTCTTTAATACATAAAACTTATAGGACCTTTTTTAGTCATTTTTAGGCTCTGGCCCATAAAAAGGCCTCCAAAAACAAAAAAAGCCCCGGGCCCCAAGAAATATTAATCCGCCACTGCTCCTGTCATGTAAATTATTATTTGTTTATTTTGTTATTGTAATTATTGTCAAACGGCGAAATATATATATTAAAAAAAAAAATAACTCACTTCTTATGTGCGGCTTTTTTTTATTAAATCTCCAGTGACCAATAAATCTCCAACTATAATTTTTTTGTATTTAAAAAATTTTTTCAATGAAATTTTTCTGAACTTAAATGAATGAACAGCTAATAAACCAAGCAACAAGTCTATCTAAATATTAGCTACAACCGATTTAAGTGTAAAAAGTGCCTAAAAGTTTTAGGCGAAGTTTCACCAAGTCAAATTATGGAATGGTACCAGTGTGAAAATTCAAATAGCAAGGTTTGGCATGTCAAACATACATACCAAAGCGATACGTAAAAGGCGTTGAGTTTTATTGCACCAAAAAGTGCCGCACTGAAAACTCATCTCAACTTCTAGTACCTCTAAACGACTCAACATCGTCACAAGAATAAAAAAGTTTATTTTATTTGATTGATTTTTTAATTGTTATTATTGATTGTTTTTTGATTGCTTTTTGTTTTTTTTTAATAAAGTGTTGCTTTAATTAGGGGCCATCCATAAAGGACGTCATCCAAATAGGGGGGGGGGGGAGGGGTCGAGTTAAAAAGGACAAAAAAGAACAAGGGGAGGGGGGAGGTTGTCAGAAAAGGACGTCACTTTATAGATTTTTTATTTTAGTTTAATTAACATGGAAAACTACGTAAACATGTGTTTTTAAGAAGATAATGTATGAGAATATTTTTAATTTTATTTTTCAAAGGTGTAGCAGCAGATTCAAACATCATTGCGAGATGAAATAAATTTTTTTGGAGTTAAAAATAGGGGGAGGGGGTTCGGGATTTTATGACGTCCTTTTCAAGGGGGGTATAGGGAAAAAGGACAACCGGTGACAAAGGGGGGGGGGAGGGAAAGGGGTTCAAAAATTGGCTAAAAATGGTGACGTCCTTTATGAATGGCTCCTTACACATATATTTGCAAATTTCATTCTTCCCGAATGTCAGTGTAGAATGGAATAAACTTTTTTTAATCAAATAAAGTTTCATAAAAAACTTAAAAAAAAAATATTTGAAATTTTATTAATTTAAATACAGCTCAATATTCTCTCAACTTTAAAAAAAAATTGAAATTTTTTTTTCCGTAAATAACAAATAATTATAATCCTTAACTATTCCATTTAACTCCATTTTACTCTATATTTTAAAAATTCTTTTTTTTTTATTCTTCCTAATACTTTTAAATAAACAAAAAAACAAAATTGTATCTTTTCAATTATTACATTAAGTATTACATAAAATAATACTCAAAGAACCTTCTGAAACAATGTCAAGACTATACCTTTATGGTTCAAGATGAAGCAAAACTAGAACTATGTTTTATGACATGACCAACAAAAAACATTTTTATAAATAATGTGAGGTTCAGATAAAAATTATACCAGTCAGCAACAGCTTTAAATGATTCTTCATTGGTAACATCATACATTAATATAAAACCCATAGCTCCCCGATAATATGCAGTCGTTATAGTTCGATATCTTTCTTGACCAGCTTTAAAAGAACGTAGATAAATACATAGCGCATACAATTATGTTAATATAATTTTCTGTTTTTAATATTTCTAAAGTATATTTTTATTTAATATATATATATATATATATAATATATATATATATATATATATATACTTATAAAGTATTCAAAAAAGTATTTAAAGCCTCCTTATTTTATTTCAATTTCATTTATTATAAAACTATGGTTCTGAAATATTTATATAAACAATATTTCTTTGGATTTTAGATGGGCTTTTCAAATATCCTGATTAAAACGGATAAACTTTGTCCCCAAAGAAAAGGGTATTTTTAGTTATCATAGAGCACCGCGGAAGAGCATTTAGTTGGGAAGTTCACTCCTCCTTCCTTACCAATGTCGCTTATTTAAGCTGGACCTCGGGATTCTGGGCCAGAACTCTAACCAATGCGCCACGGCCGCTCAAGGTTTCTGACCCGCCCCCGCCCCCCCCTCATCTTATTTATTTGTAGAATCGCCTCTAGTCAAACATGATTTGAAAACATTTTCTTATGTATTCTTATTTATATGCAATCAATAATGTAAGAAAAATGAAATAATAAATAAAACTATCCTTGTTGGAAGCTTTGTTGTAACTTTTTAAAAAGTACAAATTATAATAAAAAAAAAAGAAAAAATTTAACTAGATAAAATTAAAATTGGTTGTAAAATTGTAAAAGTGTGTTTTTTAAGATATCATAAAAGATTCCCATTGTTACCCGAAAGCTTGCCTGCTGACTTTTTAACTAGGTTTTAACAAATAGTTATAGCTAGAGTGAGAACGAAGTAAAATTACGTTATTTTTCATAAAACAGTTTTTGTAGCAGCAATTTTCAATTTAACACCGCGTAACTATCATTATTTAAAGTTAACCAACCACATTCCACTTTTACAAAAAAATATATTATAATATTGTTTCAAGACGTCATAAACAGTCAAAGCGTTGCACAGTGAATTGACTAAAAATGGCAAAATTGTTTATGGGTTAACCTCTATAAACATGTATCATATCTTTAAACATAAACATATGATACATGTTTATAGAGGTTTTTTGGGCCAAGGATTTCAATTTTAGGCTCCATTTTAAATTTGGAGTGGTCATGACCATTCAAGTGGTTGTTTTAGGGGTTGTCAAGGGTGGTTATGGGGTTACTCGATAATTTTTAAATTATATAGGGCATGTTGTATATCTAAATATAGGAAACTGCTATCAGGGAACTCATCCAGGCATGTTTAGTTATTAGAAGGTGGTTATGACCGCTCAAATGTTCATTTTAGTTTTAGTCAAGGGTGGTTCTGAGATGCCCCGATGTTTTTCAATTAGATGGGACATGTTGTATGTCTAAATATAGGCAATTGTGGTCAGTGAATTTGAAACTGGACATATTCAGTCTTCAGGAATGGTCATGATTGCTCAGGAAGTTATTTTAGGGGTGGTCAAGGGTGGTCCTGGAATATCCTGATGGTTTTTTAATTAGATTGTACATGTTGTATGTCTAAGTATAGGTAATTAATATTATGAAAATCAAATCTGATCATATTTGGTCTCCAGAAGTGGTTATGATTGCACAGGTAGGTGTGATTATGGGTTGTCAAGACATTTTTGCGATTTTTTTTATTTTATTCACTTAATTTCTTTAATATTGTGAATATAAACAAATAATGTTCAATAAATTTGAACTTTATTAACATATATATATATATATATATATATATATATATATATATATATATATATATATATATATATATATATATATATATATATATATATATATATATATATATACATATATATATATATATATATATATATATATATATATATATATATATATATATATATATATATATATATATAAGAATCTAGGTGATGACATGCATCATGCATTAGTACATCAAGAGATTATTGGTTGCCTTAGGTTGATTGGAGTCTTTGACTTTTCCCTAACTTCTCCTTATTTTGGACTCCTTAGTAACGTAGCTGAAAAGTATTTTCATCATAAGACCATGTTTAAGGCCTGGAGAATAGTTATCTCTGTTGTTTTAGTCTAAAACATTAATATAAGGGTGAATGAATATTTTGGCATTTCATGGGCGTTATTGAAATAAACAAAACACATTTGACACATTTGAAGTACAATTTTCTAGATGAAAAATTATAAATATTCTCTTCAGTGACGGATCTGCATTTTTTAGTGTTTGAGAGCTAACTTTCAGACATGGAGCAAACTCCAATTATTTTTACGTTTATACTAATGTCAAATAATGATACTTTGAAAAAAATTGCGGTTGTCGGAGGCTGGGAACAAATAAACCCCAAGTTTTCGTCATCTATTTCACTCCTTCCCCTCACTATTACCCAAACGTGAGCGCAACAAGCTGATAAAATATTTTTTGTACTTTTCTCAATACAACTTATACTCATCGATAAACATTAAGTTTCATAGTATTATCTCTCAGAGTTCAAAAATTATGACCATTTAAAGTCTAAACCCCCCTCCTGAAAAGTAAAATATTGCCATTTTTGTAGTAAAATTGATATACTGAGTTTAAAAATCACATTAGTGAAAACATTATATCAGTTTTAAAGTGCTGGGGGTCTCTAGATTACATTTACAAAAAAAAATTACTCAAATATAAAAGTTGGTTTTGAAGGATTTTTCTCACCTCTGGCCCGCTGTGCATTGTAAATAAATCACGGAAGTTTATTGTTATTTTTTTATGTTAAAGATTAATAATAGTTTTTTTATATCAGAATTCAATCAACAAATGTCTAGATATGAATTGGCAGTATTTTTGCGTATTTACAAAAAGGCATTTTATAACTCTATGTTTAAAATTTAGCAATTTGTTTTAAATGCAGACAAGGTACTATAACACAAAATAAAATCCTGGAGAGATATAACAAGTTCTTTGTGAAAAAACGTTCTATTAGAACGTAACGAACGTAAAGTTAAACGGAGAAGCAAAAGATAAATAAGTAGTAAAGATTGTTTATATTTATTCCTAGTATAAAGGTGTTTAAAAAAACATTTATGTAGATCGTGGTTTTTGTTGTGATTACTTTTTAATAGTTCAAGCAAAAAACTTATCGAGTCATTTTAAAATTTTCCTTTTTCAATGAAAAGGCTTGCGGTTGAAATTTTTCAACGAAAGTGACTTGTTGTTAAATAATTATACTATTAAGACTGGCCCACGATTTTAGACGATTTTCGACTTTGTTCTTCTTCCAGCTAGTCTATCATATCTCCTTGGTTTTTATTTGCATTCTAAAGCTCTAACATTATCAAAAGCTCTTTTTCTTATTTTATACTTTGTTTTCATCAAATTTGTTTTAAAAACATTACGATTCTCTTAAAACTTTTTTTGGAAAAAATTTAATGGAAAAATAATCAATCTGCCAATAAAACTGCAAAACTTTAAAGCATATATCTTATAAAAAGTTTAAAAATGGCATAACTTAACATCCAATTTAATATTTAACAATCATAGTATAGCGTTATTTTATTTCTCTATCCCCTGCCCCGCCCCAGTTTTTAATAACAATTATGATAGAGAACTCTATGCTGATTAAGATTCGCATGAAAACTTTCAACAAGAGTTTTATTTTTAATTACGCCACCTAGTTTTTTTTCTAAATTAAGATGGTAATAAAAATTTAATTTTCATGAAAATTCCTGTATAAAAAATTTGCAAAATAAATTTAAATTAAAAAATTAAAAAAATGGCTGTTTATACATACTGATTGTATAAAGAATTGGCTATTTATACACGCCATATCTATTTTTTGAATTTGTACATACATCGACTGACCTGACCTTTTGTACATATATTGACTGACCATAAAAAGAACATACATAGAGTGCACACAGTGGCGGAACTTCAAAATTTGGGCCCCCCCGCAAAAGAATGTTTTTTTTGCGGAAAAGAGTTTTATAGTATAAATATTATTGAGAGTATAACTTTTTTTATATGAGGGCTCCCTATAGCTGGTAGGCCCCCCCCCCCGCAACGCAGGGTCCTGCGTCCAGTAGTTCCGCCACTGAGTGCACATACATCAACCGACTTGAATAGCGAAAGCATGTGAGAAGTAAATTATTTAGTATTTACGAAAAACAAATTATGAAGAAAATACCGTTAATTTTTACACCTAATAAAATATAAAAAATTATTACTTGATTATTATTGTTTTAATTATTATTGTTTTGTAGGAAAAATTAATCTGATTTGAAATTAAAAAAAACTTACCAGTGTCCCATATTTGTAATTTGATTTGTTTATCATTGCGAAACACTGTCTTAACTTTGAAATCGATCCCAACAGTTGATACAAAGCCTGAAGTAAAGGAATCTTCAGAATATCTAAAAAGAAAACATGTTTTGCCGACCGAAGAGTTACCAATAATAAGAAGTTTAAATATATATTCTGCAGTATGTTTGCAACAATGTCGGTCAGAAGATACTGCCGCCATTTTTGTAAATGCGACGGAAAGGATAAATGCAAAACAAAGTTTGTTCACGTGGCAGCCTTGAACCAATCATATTCAATGCCAATAACTTTTGATTCAAAAAATCAACGTCTTCTCCGTCGAAATTAACTTTCAATTAGTTCAGAAAAAATGCTACATAGCTTGACACTTTGACTGTCAATACCAGAATTTATGTTTGATTCGTGAATTTATTTCTAGTAAACATTGACTTAAAAATATTCTGTTTTTAAGTTGAAAACGGCAAGATGAAACAAAATCATTGTTTCAAATATTTATTTGTAAATAGTTATTTTTATATTGTGCTAAGTTAAGCTTCTTGTTAGAGCATGAAAGCAGAGACATGTAACTATGAAAGTATACAAACAAGGGGTATGGGTAAACATTTTTCTAAACAAGTTAGAGTTAATAAAGTGCTTTACTGATACAAATAGTATCAAAAAGCCTATAAATGGCTACGAATTCGCAACGTAGACATAGTTCAACTCTAGGTTGCATATTACATTACAAGTTACTCTTAATTGATTGTTCTAAAAAATGGCAACTTTTTCATCTTTTTAAATTAATTTAAAACTAATTAACCGTTGATATAACATTTCTCACATCCAAATAAATGTAAATTTAGTTAAAAAAACTTTTTATATTTTTTGAAAGTAATGCTTTTATCAATGTTTGTTAAATAAGTATCAAAAAACAAAATTAAAATTAATCATTTACTTTATGCGTAGTTCCGCGCAATCCTTTATTTATAATAACATATTCAAACAATGAATGTACGTCCTATATGTCAAATATCTTATCTTTTATGTGTATTTATGAAAATATAAGAGTGAAAAGATATTTTGGCAAGATTCAACATCAATTAAATAAACATATTCATACAAATAAATTCAGGGCCGCCCGTGGCCGTGGTTTTTAGCAATAATTACATTTAAATTTTTTATTTAATTTGAGAAGCGAAGTAAAGAAAGGAAAGCCAATAAAAAAGATTTATTACGCATAATCAACAATTATTATTTATTAGTTATGCGTTACCATGCCGTTATGCGTTAAGATACGTTACCATACCAAAAACGGTAACATACGTTACCATTTTTGGCAACCGTTTACATAAATACATTTTATCTAGTTTGAGATTATTAACTTAATAACTGTTTAAAAAATAAATTGTTTAATAACAACATTCAGGCGAAGTCATACAAATGTATAATTTATTACATATTTATAATTTAAATAAATAATTGTTTACTTACATTAATTACATAATTTCTAAACTAATTGATAATTTCGAAACTAATTTATAATTTCTAAACTAATTGATAATTTCTAAACTAATTTCTTTAGGCGTGTAAAAATGATTTATTTTTACTATTACAACTAACCGCTAAGATGTAGTAAACTACGGCGTTACTAAACCAATGAATCAGGAATTCAGTAGCCTGAGTGTTTATATAATCTAGACTCTTGCTCAAATGATATGATACAATGATAATTATTCTAATGATTCTTATTTCATTTTTAGTCTATTTTTATTTAGGCTAGTTTATTTTAAAACAAACTTTATTGAGCAAAAATTTACTTAATAAAGTTTGATTCAGTGCGTTTAAAATAATGTGTAAATCGTTATGTAAACATTGACTATATTTGCGTGAAATTTTTTGTTATCGTGTAAGAATGTTTAGGAAAATTCAACCCATCAAATTGTATTCAACGTATCGTAGTAAACCAACTGATCAATTTTATATTTATATTTATTTATACTTGTATTTTTTGAAAGATGATAACAGTGTTAATATACTATAAAGTAATTTAAAGAAAACTTAAACGACGAGAGTGAAACCGTTAAGAAAATTATTGCTTGTTGCTGCAAACAAATTGTCCCCTCAATATTATCTTGTTCTATCTACAAATGTAATAAATAAAATGTTCTGTCTAATATATAAAATAAATACATATATATATATATATATATATATATATATATATATATATATATATATATATATATATATATATATATATATATATATATACTTAAATATAGAAAAAACAACTTTTAATGGAACTTAAAGTTTCATGCCTATCGGCAATCATCAGCCATGAAGTACAAAATCAAAAATATAAAAAACCGTCTAACTACAGTAGAATGAGTTCTGACGTCTTAGTACAAGAAGACGTAATGGAAAACTAATCTCCGCTATCAAATAATGAAAGAAGAAATTTATTTTTATGTCTACATTTCGAAACTACTTCGCCTCTTTTATTTAGCAGATTATCTCCTTTGTAAAATAATATTTCAAATTTCTCATTTAAACAAAGCTTACAAATTTTTGACGCAGGATTGTACGATTTACAGCGTTTAATTATATTCCATTTGATTGAAGATGTAAAATTGTTATCTTTTAAATCCCATACTTCCTTAGATAACTCAGTGTCGTTCTTGTACTTTTTTATGTTGAAAGATTTTAGATGGTTTGCATAACGTAGTTTAAAAGAGGTTTCGCTTATCCCAATGTATACCTTATCTTTGTATTGAGGTTTATTTGAGCTTACGGTAGCTTGGTAAACAATGTTGTTAGACAAGCAATTATTGTTCAGTGGACAAAGAGATTTTTTAATGCAATTGCAGGTTTTTTCTGATAACTTTACATCACCATATAAAATATTTTTGTTGTGTGAGTTGATGATAGATTTAATGTTTGGCATGCAGGAGTAGCTTATTTTAATAGTGTTTCTGTTAAATATTTTGTGTAGGTTGTGGTCTTTAGGAAAATGCTTGTCAAATAGGGTTAAAAAGCGTTGACCAATTTTGGTTGTAACATTTTTACTAAATGGAGGGTTGTACCAGATTATACTTCGTTTGTGGTGATTTTTTGGAACATTTGTTATGCTTGGTTTATATGCCAACTTATAATCATATCCCGATTGCTTTAGTGCATCTTCATAAAGATGTGTCGACTTATTAAAAATGACTTCACTTGATGAGTTGGTGGACAATCTTAGCTCGATATTTTTTTGAAGATTGTTTATTATGTTAGGTGGATGGTTAGAATCAGCATGTACATAACTTAGCTTATTATCAGGCTTGCAGTATGGTTGGAAGTAAGATTAAAAGTTAAATCAAGGTAGTTAACAATTTTAAGATTACAATTGATAGAGATGTTGAGATTGTTACGTTTAAAATCTTGAACGACAAGTTTTTTTATTTGATCCATTTGATGGCCATTTTTGTTCTTGAAAACAGCTAACCCGTCATCCCGATATAGACCGAAATCATTTTTGTTGTAAAACTGCAAAAGTTGATCTAAAATAAAAATCCCAACTAGTTCGCAAACTTCCGCACCATCATAGGCTCCCATGGTACCATCAAACAATCCTGATTTTTCTTAATCCATGATATGCCACCGTTAAAAATGAAAGATTTTCTTGCATGATGTATAATGGATTTGCTTTGCTCGTCTATTGTTATATGCTGTTCGGCAAAAGTAATAGCGTTATTAAGTATTTTTTCACCAATTGACGGATAAAAATCATTTATGTCAAATACTAAAAATTTACAAAGGTGTTTATCATCAATTTTTTGGAACCAATTTATTACATTTTGCGTATTTTGCCATTGGTTTAAACAGAGCCTGGTTCTTAATTCCGAGTTGATATTGGATAAAATAAGCTTTGACAGTCTTCCTACCTCATTCTTTGCAGGATTTAAAAGACGCACAGTAGGGTTGTTTAGGAAGTTGGCTTATGGTCTTTTAAAGTTATAAAACAATCAGCAGTTCCGTTTATCTCGATTCTATTAAAAATATCATGATTTTTTAAAATTTGCTTACTTTCTTTATTTACTAGGTTCATTAGTTTTGGATCGGCCTTTTTATAAATAAAATTTATTTTTTATCAATCACTTCTATTTATAAAAAGGCCGATCCAAAACTAATAAACGTAGTAATGTATATAGAGAGCGTTTATTTACTTAACTTTTATTTTTAATACTTTTTTATATCTAGCTGTTTTAAATGCAGAATAGAGATTTGTATTTATGGTATCAAGGTTTAGAAAAAAAAACTTATCATATGTGTGCACAGTTTTTAGACAACGATTTTCTTCCAACTTTTAAATTACTGCTAATGACCTTAGTTTGTTTTCGAAAATAAAGAGTTATTCAGAAAAGTAGGTTGCTGACTAAAAAAAGTAAAGAAGAATTTATGCTTTTAAATTTTATACCACCAGTATCTGAAACAAATATTTAAACATTTTTACTTACAACATCACCTTAAAAAAAAAATCTTATAAAAGACCTAGATCTTAAAATCGAAAATAAAACTTTTAAGCGTAAAATTAAAGCTATTGACAATTTAAAAGAAAATTATGAAAACTGCTATAAACAGCTAAATAGTCTTAAAAATGGCAATGAAAAACTTAAGTCAGATATAAGAACCAGCAATGCAGAGAAACTAGAATTTGTAAGACATGCCAAACAGTGTAAAGCATTATATACAACAACGAATGATAGGCTGTCAATTCTAGAAAGAAAGTTTACCATATTAAAACTTAAGAATAAAACAAACAGAATTCGAAATTTAAACAAGAAAATTTTGTATAGAGATATAAAGCTAAAAAAAACAAGAAGAAAAAATTGATGCATTAAAAGCCCAATTTAAAAGCCAATCTCAAACTTTAAATAAGAAATTTGATGACCTTAATCAAATGCTAGAAAGTAGTAATAAAAAAGTTTATATTTTACCTCAACAAAAAAAAAATCTTCATAAAAACTTGTCGTTTGAAAAAAAAATTAAATAAAACAAAGGAAACAATTTCAGCTTTTTCAATTAAAAATCTTACTTTTTTGCAGTCAGAAAAAGTTAAAGAATTTGGTGCAAAAGTTAAATCATTAAACAAAGAAAACATATATTTAAATGGTCTTTTGAAAATGTTGGAAGATGAGGAAATTGTAACTTTTCAAAGGGGGCGTTATTCAAATGATATTCGAGAAGTAATTATGGAACTGTTATCATTAAATGTCAGTATGAACAAGATCAATGATGTCATCAAAATTGTTTTAAAAAAACTTGCAAAAAAAGAAATTTCAAAATTTCCCTCTGTAGGTACAAAATCTAAATTTATGTCAGAGGCTTTAGTTCTTGCACAGATTCAAGTATCAGAAGAAATGTTAGATAGTG